GCAGAGACTGGAGTGATGCAGCCACAAGCCAACGAATGCCTGCAGCCAACAGAAGCTGCAAGAGGCAAGGGAAGATTCTGCCCTGGTGCCTTTGGAGGGAGCATGGCCTTGCTGACACTTCAACTTCACACTTCTGGCCTCCAGAACTGTGACAGAAAAGTTTCTGTTGTTTTCAGACACTGAGTTTACGGTAATTTGTTAGGGCAGCCATAGAAAACTACCTACCTTGTTAAAAAGGCAGATACTTCAACCCCATTCCAGACTATTCAACAGGAATCTTTAGCAGCAGGACCAAGAATCTGCATTCTAGCCAGCTCCTCTAAACTGTGGTATTATAAAGTTTGACAGCTACTGATAAAGAACAACTGAGTGTGGCTTTTGTCTTTCAGTGCTGCAATGACCCTGAATTGTAAGGTTTATGTTTTTTTAATTTTAAAATAAGAAAAAAAAGAAAATCCAGGCTGGGCGCGGTGGCTCGTGCCTGTAATCCCAGCACTTTGGGAGGCCAAGGCAGGAGGATCACCTGAGGTTGGGAGTTTGAGACCAGCCTAACCAACATGGAGAAACCCTGTCTCTACTAAAAATACAAAAATTAGCCTGGCGTGGTGGTGGCGCATGCCTGTAATCCCAGCTACTTGGGAGACTAAGGCAGGATAATCAATTGAACCCAGGAGGCGGGGTTGCCGTGAGCTGAGATCGCACCATTGGACTCTAGGCTGGGCAACAAGAGTGAAACTCTGTCTCAAAAAAAGAAAAAAAAAAAAAAGGAAAAAGGAAAAGAAAGAAAGAAAATCCCACAGGCTGCCTGCCATCTTCTTAACAAAGAACCAGAATGATTAGGCAATGGTATGAGATACCCAGATTACTAGTTATCGGCGGCTTATAACTCTTAAGCACTGACTGAGTAGCAACTGGACCCACAAGCCTACAAACCTGACAGTAGGTCTCACTTGGACAGGCAGCCATTCTGACTCAGGGTGTACAGAAACTCATAAGGAAGGACAGCTGAGTGGTCAGGGTTAAGTCACAGTAGGTAAACAGAAACCCACGCTGGGGAGGTAATGGAGACTCTGGGAAGCATTGATAACAAACACGACCGACATTCAGATTTGGATAAAAGCTGACAGCAAAGGAGGAAGAACCACTTTCCTGAACTCTGTAAATGATATTTTTCACTCCTTCAGGGGCAGGCAACACTCCTTCAGGGGCAGGCAAATAAGAAGAGTTGAAATGTGAGAGCTGGAAAAAACAATGCTTGGCAAACTGATCAGTTCAGATGACCCACCTTTCAATGACCCACAATGTTGGTGTTGCCCCAGTGAAATCTGTATATTTATGCCTTCGAACAGTTACTGAATGTCTTCTACGTAGTGGGTATACTGTTTGGTGGAATGACACGTGTCAAGAGGAAAGAACCACATCCTCAAGGAGCAGTTGGGAAGATGGACATGAAAGCAAAAGTGTCAGGAGCACAAAGGAGGACTAACTTTTTCTGGGGGCATCAGGAAGGTTTCACCAAGGAAGGCAGCTGAGCGGAACCCTGAAGATTGAAACAGCCATTCATCCAACCAGGACAAGAAAGCTAGCATGAAGCATGAGAGCATGCCAACTCATATTTATTGAGCTTATCCTTTGTGCCAGGCACTAGTCTTAAGTTCTCCCTAGGTATTAATGCATCTAATCCTCATCTGTGAGCTTGGTACAATTACTCTGCTCATTTTACAGCTGGGAAAACTGAAGCACCCAGAAGCTCAGTGATGTACCCAGAGTCACCCACCCAGCTAATTCATGGTGGAATCAGCATTGAGCTCCGGTGGTCTTATTCCAGAGCTCCTTTTTGAGAACCACTGAGATAGACTGAATTTTAGTTTCTGCTCCTTACTAGCTGTGTGACCTCAACATGTTGCTCAACCTCTCAAAGCTTCAATATCCTCATCTACAAAATGAAGAACTCAGTGGGCATATGTACTTCCATCTGCCTGGGATTCCTTCCTCTTGGAAATTGCTCCTCCTTTCCCTCTAACCATCAGTGCCGGTTGGAATGGTCACGTTCTTAACAGTCCCATTACTAATTAATCCAAGAATGGACAGCTGATCTAAGCTGGGCCTATCTAAACCCTTCTCTGAGAATTTTCTTTTCCCCCAGGCTGAAGTGCAATGGTGCAATCTTGGCTCACTGCAACCTCCGCCTCCCAGATTCAAGAGATTCTTGTGCCTCGGCCTCCTGAGTAGCTGTGATTACAGGTGTGCAGCACTACACTTGGATAATTTTGGTATTTTCAGTAGAGACAGGCGTTTGCCATGTTGGCCAGACTGGTCTCAAATTCAGCCTCAAGTGATCTGTCCACCTCTGCCTCCCAAAGTACTGGGATTATAGGTGTGAGTCACCGTGCCTGGCCTCTCTGGGATTTTTTAAACTAAAATTGAGAAAGAAAATTGGTTCCTCTCTGGTGGAGGAAAGGCAAATATGTAAAACTCCTGAACTACTGGAAATCACATGCTCCAGTGTGTGGTAGAGGTTAAGTTTGCAGAGAATAAAAACAACACAAAAAGAGAAGAAAGAGACTGAAAAGGTTTTCAAAACCCCTCCATTTGCCTAAGCCAGTTTGACTTAGGTTTATGGCATAGGCAAGAAATTTCATCAGTAAGAAATAGTAGTACCCATTTCCTAGAGTTGTTTTAAAGATGGGTTACCATGATGCATGCAAAGAATTTAGCACAATGCCTAGCCCAGTCAGTGGTCAGCAAATAATAGTTCTTACTGTTAAAATAATCAGTGTCATTCTTCCTCTAGTAAGCTTTGCATTCCAGAAAACTGAACAGCTTGTATTCAGACTGTGGTATTCCTGCCTGTGTAGACCGTACTGGCATTCCTCTCCCATTCCCTGCCTCCCTGATGTACTCTTATTCTATCTACAAAACCTTACTTGAAGCTCATCTATAAAGACTGCCTTGAGCCCTTCAGACAGAGTTAATCACTTTCCCACTCATACTCCCTTTTTCCTTATTTATCAATGATACCTGTCACACCGAGATAGGTATTTGGTTAAGCTGCTATATCCCCACTCGACTGTAAGGCCTTTGTGACCACATTTCTCCTCCTTGCTTTAGTCCTCAGTGCCCAGCACAGTACCTGGCCTAGGAGAGCCCTCTACCAGTGTTGTGTGCATCGAGAAGCAGAAGACTAAGTTGTCGTCTCAGGAAAGCAGACCTGCTGAAAGCTCATCAATCTTAATGTTCCCTGCCTGACACCAAAAGTGCATTAACAGATGGGGAATGGTGTGCTTGGAACCTAGTAAAAGTGAAGTTCAAAGAGTCAGGAATGCTGCCTCCAGCGCTGTACAAAGACCAGCAGATGCAATGCCTTTGAGGCATAATGAGTAGGAAGAAAGTAACCCTAGAATGTGTCTATTGATGTGTAAGATCTAAAACCACAGTGGGCCAAGCAAGACCCTTCAGGATGCTTCCTCCTGCTTCTCTCACCCTGGCTCCAAGTCCCTGGGATGGAAACATTCACATCCACATGCTCAATTGGAAAGAAGTACTCGGCAAGGCTGTGCGCACCCGGCTGGCACTGCCTGATGTCATTAAGGTCATCCAATTCACTCCCCTTGCTCCGATTCCATGCTCAGCAAGAAAGCTCCCATGGAGAGTATCCCTACAGGGCAGGGAACACATTTTCCAGCTGACACAAATTTTTAAGTATTGCTTGAAGTTCAACACACCTGGCATGCTCCCTAGAAAGAGCTCCTTTTTAAAGGAAAGCTATGCCAGGCTAATCTGGCTGCACAAGGTACTTTGCCAGTGTCTGAGTTAAACCAGCTGCCTTGGGCTCTATAATTGGACCAATTACCAATGTCCCAACAGAGACACTCATTTATAGGTGTAAGGTTAGCCAATCACTTATGAGATGGCTCACGTGAGACTCCACCCGGTGCAGAAACTTCAGAGAAGATGGTGACAATGTCTATGAATCAGAACCTTTGTTTTGGGATTAATACGCAATAAAGGGAGGGAAGTTGGTCCTGATACCCTACATGATGATAGGCCGTAGTTCAAGTTCTCCGCAGGTTTTCAGGTTGCATTGGTCATGAAAATACTTGGTCCACCAGAGCATGCATACACTCAGCACAGTTTTGTAGTCTTGCTCTCCACTTATTTAGCTTAAAAATAAACTCTGATCACCTGAGGATACCTGGTCTTATATTTTCCATGCACATAAAAGAGCCCGAAGTGCAGCTTAGAAATTATATATAATTTTTTATTTTGATTTTCAAGTTATATTTTAGAATGTGGTCGATGTCAGTCAATTTCACTCAGTCTAATTGACACTGGATACTGAGCAAATTAAAGACTAGCTTCTGAGTCATGGTGATTTTCTGCCTCTACAGCTCAACCGTCTCTACCTTCAGTTGCATTTACTAGACTTGAAATAATTTTAACGTGTTAGTTAATCCACAAACTTCTATTCCTTCACCCCTTACAAAGATATAGGAAATAGCTATTCTTTCCCGACTCTGGCTGAGTGGCTATTTGGAATCTGCTATATTTGATTTTTTTATTGAACTTCAAACTTGTGTCTCTTTTGGAGACTGGGAGCAATAGAATTTAGCTGCCCCTGGTGAGAGGGAGAAAAGGGTGAGAAGAAAAAGGGATGTGTGTTTGGATGAAAAGTAGCTTCTAATATCATGGACTACATCAACAGTTTTGCAGATTCATAAGTGGGAGCATCTCTGCAAAGGAGCAGAGAAACCAGAAAATGCAAAAAAAGCCCCAAATAGCAAGCCCTCACATTTGTTTAGCGCTTCACAATGTACCAAGCACCTCCACATAAATTATCTCATTTAATCCTCCTAGCAACTCTGCAAGCTGGGAGGCACAGGCATTAGTTCATATTTCACACAAAGAAACTTAAGATCAGAGAGGTTATCCAAGGTCACAGGACAGAGGCAGAACTTGAACCAGTAAAAACAGAGTAAGTTTATTGAATGAGTGTTTGTCATTTATTTACTAGAGCAAGGTTAAGAGTGCAAGCATTGGAGTCAAGCAGACCTATTTTCAACTCATAGCTTCTCCATGTATTAGCTAGCCGTAGGATCATGACCAGTCACTCATTTCTCTGGGCCTCAGTGTCATCATCTGAAAAATGGGAATAATGAAATATATATCATTGTCACAAGTAATACATGAGATAATATATTTAACAGGTCTAACGTTGCTCCAGAACACAAACACACAATAATTTATGCCTTCTTTATGCTGTTGTTGGCATTTGTTGTAGTAGTAGAAGAAGTAATAGTGGCAGGTGTGAATGTATATCTAGCACCAAATCCTGTGTTCATTCTATGCAATACACTGCATTGATTTTTTGTCTTCTCCTTTTGCCACACACATTCTTTTCTTTCTCTTTTATACAATTTTCTTTCATCCTCCTTCCTATCACATGTATAGAAATCCTACCATCCTCTGATGTGAAACACACATACACACACATGCCTGATTTAGTATCTCTTCTATCTATCTACCTATCTTAGTCTTTCCTACTCAGATTTACTCAAACAATACAGGGCTCAGGGAAAGGACGGGGAAGCCTCAAGGAAAGGATAGGGAAGGACTCATGCTCCTTTACATGAGTCAGCCTCGGAGGAGAGCTTGGCATTCCCAACAAATGTTTTATTGTTTTGGTTTCCATGATCCTACACCAAGTAAAGAGATTTGGGGGTCTCTAGTAGTTAAGCTAATTAGATATAATTTTCCTTTTTGGTGCTTTAGCTGAGTTAGAGGTTTTGGGAAGGAGAGAAGGAACAAGCCTGGGTTAGGCATATCTAGCCTAACTCCCACGTGATGCCTTTCACTTCTGAATTAATTCCCTGGATAAAGTGCCCTTCTGACAACGAGATAAACAGGTTCATCTAGAGGTTTGGCTCACTGGAGTATAAAGCCCTTCGTAACCACAGTGCTTGTCTCCATCCACCCCAGGTTCCTAGCCCCAAGTAGGCTACAGTGGCAGGCATTGTGTACTCAACAACGTTTCACACCCACTGGGGATCTGAAACATAAACACTGCTTACACTGCAAAGCTCTCTCTGCAGACCCGCAAGGCTGGTGCCAAAATGGCTGCCTCACGTCTGCCCCCACCGGGCTGCACAAAGGACTCCCCACCCAACCTCACTATCAAAACTTCTGAAATGACAGGACAGGTGGCAACCGCTGGCTGGGCAAAAGGCTAATTTCCAGAACTTCAGAGGAGAGCTGTGCTGGCATCTTTTAAGAAGTTGATTCTGAGGAACGTTTCTTCTATGGTCATTCCAGAGCCTCTGCTATCCGTTTCTCCTTGAAGGGCCAACTGAAGGGTTTTTCAGTGGCTTGTCAAATGTTCTTTATCTAGTATTTGTTTGAATTTCTCTAACAAAGAGGTTTAGTTTTGACTTACTGTTTAAGCTCATGCAGGTTAAGACAGGAGCACTGAGGCATTGCTAGCCAATAGGCTTAATTATTTGCTCATACACAAAAAAGCAAATCGGATAATGCCTCTGCTTTTAGCTCTTATCTAACTTAATGTGGACAACTTTGCAGAGGTCTTGTCAACAAACTGAATGAGCCACGGAAAGTGAGGCATTCATTTTAGCCGTAAACTTTGATGAACTTTTTTCTGTTGCTAGATATGAATCAGACCCCAGGAAACTTAGAAAGAACATAGAAATAGCATTATTCTATCCTTAGTGATAAAACACCTATTTTTCCTTGGGGTCAAAAGTTTGGGTCACCTGCAAATACACAGTCAAATAATTGTCAGCAATAACATCAAAACAATTCAAGAGGGGGCTGGGTGCAGTGGCTCATGTCTGTAATCCCAGCATTCTGGGAGGCCGAGGCCTGTGGCTCACCTGAGGTCGGGAGTTCGAGACCAGCCTGGCCAACATGGAGAAACCCCGTCTCTTACTAAAACTACAAAAATTAGCCAGATGTGGTGGCTCGTGCCTGTAATGCCAGCTACTCAGGAGGCTGAGGCGGGAGAATCACTTGAACCCAGGAGGCGGAGGTTGCAGTGAGCCGAGATCATGCCATCGCACTCCAGCCTGGGCAACAAGAGTGAGACTCCAACTCAAAAAAAAAAAAAAGAAAAAAAAAATTCAAGGGGGAAATGAAAGTCTAAAACAATTGGCTATCCCCATGAGTAAAACCAACCTTAATTCTTACCTCATAGTATACACAAAAATTAATTTGAAATGGGTCATAGGCCTAAATGAAAAAGCTTAAACTATAAAAGTTATAAAGGAAAGTATAGGAGAATATCTCCAGGACTCAGGAGTAGTCAAAAGTTTCCTAGTTCACAGTAAGTAATAATCATGAAAAACAAATTGACAAATTGAACTTTGTCAAAATTAAAAACTGCTCATGGAAAGACGTTATTATAAAAACTAATCAGCAAGCCACAGATGGGAAGAAAATATTCACAACACACAAACATCTGACAAAGAGATTATAACCAAAGTATATAAAAGAACTCCTAAAATTCAGTAATCAAAAGATAACCAAATTCAAAAATGGGCAAGAGACTTGAACAGGAAGATGTGCAAGTTGCTAAGAAGCACATGAAGTAGCAGATGCCATCATTTGTCATCAGGAAAATTCAGATGAAAGGTCCATTGAGAACTGACTATCCACCCACTAGAATGGCTACAAGTTTTAAGAGAAACTGACACCACCAAATATTGATGAGGAGCTAGAACAACCAGAACTCACATATACTGTTGCTGGAAATGCAGGACAATTTACCTGCTTCAGAAGACTATGGAAGAGCTTCTTCTAAAGTAAAACACACATCTCTTCTATGATTCAGCAATCCTGTTCCTATTTGTTTATCTAAGAGAAATGAAAGCATGTGTTCACAAAAGAACTCGGACAAGAATACTCATAAACATTTTATTCGTGCCTAAAAACTGGAAACAACCCAAATGTCCACCAGTACAACAGATGAACTTTTGTATATTCATACAACGGAATACTACTCACTAATACAAAGAAATGAACTACATGCAACATTGGTGAATGTGAAAAATATTGTGCAGAGTGAAAGAAGCTACACACAAGAGAGTACATACAGTATGATTTCACTTGCATGAAATTGTAAAACAAGCAAAATGAATCTATAGTATAAGGAGGCCAGGTGAAGAGAAAGAGAAGACCAGCCACCCCAGTGTCCCAGCTGAGACTAATCCAGATTGCAGAATAATGAGAAATAATAAAATGGTGGTTGTTTTAAGCCACTAGGTTTTGGAGTGATCTGTTACACAGCAATCAAAAATCAGAATCATTGTTTTCCTCATGGAATTGTCAGACTACATGATATGACACTCATGGAAGGGCTCTGTAAGTGGACAAGTGCTAAGCACTTGTGAGTGGCAGTCATCTCTGGGCATATGTGCAGATTGGGGTTAGTGTTCATTAGGGATAAGTCCATTTGAGAATTAGCCTGTAGAATTCAGAGGGTCTTACTACCCAACCAATATAACCTTTGATTTCTTCTATCCTGCTCGTTTCTCTTGAGCAGCCGTCCGCAACTGCTTCTGGGGAAGAGAGAGAGAGAGAAAGAGAAAGAAAGTTATTCATGGTTAAAATAACCATGAATAAAATATTCATGGTTAAAATAAAGTGTTAAAAAAAAAAAAAAAGAAAATAACATTTACAAATGGCCAGAGCAGAAAAGATGCATCAATTTCATTTATCTTGTTAAGGAATGGGGCTAGATTGAAGATTAACCAGTGCTTATAATTTTTAAGACTCTAAGAAATACCTTTGAAGTTAGAGAAGGATGGAGAGAAGTGAGAGGGAGTCACCATGGTCTAAAGGGCTAGTCCTCAATCTGGTCTGTGACAAGTTGATCAGGCTCAGGGGAATTAAATTAAATGAACCGATTTCCCAAGAAACTGCTTGATCAACCAATGGCAGTTCATCCACGTGCAATGAGAAATGCAATTTCCAAGCCACAGTATTTAGCTCTGTCAGGTGGTAAGGAGAAGATTACTCTGGGAAACCAGATTACTTGACCTGATAAGAGTTTCATGTCTGCAAACATGGGGAAGTGAGGACATGCAGAGAACCATGAGCAGGTGGAGCGCTTTGGGTGTGCTGAGTAATGTCAGTGGACTGTTACACAAAGCTTAGGTAACGCATCTTTTGTGCACCTGGAATCTGCAATCTAACAGATTTCTAACCAGGCTGAGAGGATGCTCTCAGTCCTCCCAGTTTATGAACTTACAGGGATGTAAGGAACTCAAGACAGGGAAATAGCCTCTCTCTCCAAAAGGATAGTGGAGATGGATTCCCTTTTTTATAAAAAAAAAATACATATATATAATAGAATTAATGGATTCAGACCATTCACGAAAGACTATTAGCTCCACGCCCAGCTCAGGCACCTTCTCTAGAATCCCTCTCCTAATAATGTAAGTGCCCCTGCCACCTCCATCTTTCCATTTTTGTTCTTTTAATCCTATTTTACATTGTTTGTTTATATGCCAAACCCTAAACGATGAGTTCTTGAAGGTTAAAATTATGTCTTTTTCATCTTTTTTCACTAGCCCCCGCATAGTCGCTGGCATACATACCGTGGTGCTCAATAAATGCATGTGGCATTAACTAAAAGTTTGTTGTTTCTGGAATTTGTCTGAAACCTGAAACACTGCAACAACGTCTCACTTAGAACGTCGCCTTACCCTTTTGCCATAATTTTAGAGTGAGGAGGTTGAGGTCACTGGATTACGTGTCCTTTTATGAGGGACCTACAGCTCAGGGCAGAAAGGCACTTGCCACAATCATCCTGCCAGGGTACCCTGAATCCCCTTGCGCCGCCGCTCCTGATCTCTGGGGTTTCAGGCGCCTCCTCTCTTACAACCCCTTCCTGGGGAAGTAAACCCCATCAAGACTCCACCACATCCTTCCCCAGCAACTCAGCCTGGGGTCACAGAGGCCTTTACGTCTCACTGAAAACCGGTTTTCTTTAATTCGTGCCCATTCGTTCTTGCAGCCCCTTCCCCAGATCGAACTACCCTAGTCTTAGTAAGCAGAGGTAAGGAGGGAGGGGGAGAAGCTGCCTGGACCCCCGCGGAGCTCTCCAGGGGGCGCCGCGACTGCACGCCACGCCAGCGCCCGCACCACCCCACGCGGGAACGGAGCTACCACACAGGGGTCGCACGCAGCTCTCGGGGACCGTGGGCGCCGCGGGGTCAAACTGGCAGAGGGAGACGTCGCAGCTGCTGTGACAGCAAGGAAAGCCGAAACCCCCGTAGGGAATACTTTACAAAATTATTTTAATCACCGTGCAGACCTAATAACTTGACCCAAGCACAGTCACCTGTACTCACCCAGAGTAAATATTCCTAAAATCCCATTCAGTGTGTCTGTGTCTCTCCCGCCTCTTTCCGTTTCAGGCAAATGTCTACCCCTCTCGCCCCCCACCGTTAACACCTCTGGGCAGCGTGGGCAACAGTGCCCAGCAGCTCAGCCCTCTGCTCCCTGTTCTGCTTTTCGCATCCCATTCGGACTTGTAGGAAGTAGTTATCTTTTGGTGGTGGTGGAAACCGGGCAAGAAAGAAGACGCTAAGCTTGGCTGGGGCCAGGAGAAATATTGAGAAGAGTCATTACCTTCAATCCGATCTAAACCAATCATCTCAAACTTGGCTACTCTTTGGAACCACCTGGGGAGCTTTAAAAACTATGGACGCCCGGATAGCACCCCAGAGGTTCTGTTCTAATTGATCTGGGATGTGGCCTGGGCATCGGGATTTTTTTTTAAACTCCTCAGGTTATTCCCAGCCTGAAAACTATGGATATAAATTTCTCATTCCTCTTCCCATCCAGACCAAAATAAAAATAAAAATAAAATAAAAATACCGGAGCGTAAGTTGATGGCCCAGGGAATCTGGCACCTGCTCCCCTGTAACCATCCAGCGCTGCAAAGTCCCGGAAAATCGGCGCGCGCGGCGACGCTAAACACACGGTGGCGGGGCAAGCGGGCCAGGCGGGCGGGGCCGCGCGTGGCCCCGCCCCCGCACGCCTATGGGCGCGAGGTACGGGCCCTGACGTCACTCTTGTCAGGGCCGCGGCACATGGGTGGCCGGATGCGCTGAGCCCGGCGCTGCGGGGCCGCGGAGCGCTGGGGAGCAGCGGCCGCCGGCGCGGGGAGGGGGGTGGGGTGGGACGGCGCGCCGCCTCCGGTGCTGGCACTAGGGGCTGGGGTCGGCGCGGTGCCTTCTGCCCTTCTGCAGCCGTCGACATATTTTTTTTCTTTCTTTTTTTTCAATTTTGAACATTTTGCAAGACGAGGGGTTCGAGGCAGGTGAGAGCATCCTGCGCGTCGCCGGGGAGCCCGCGGGCACTTGGCGCGCTCTCCTGGGACCGTCTGCACTGGAAACCCGAAAGTTTTTTTTTAATATATATTTTTATGCAGATGTATTTATAAAAATATAAGTAATTTTTTTCTTCCCTTTTCTCCACCGCCTTGAGAGCGAGTACTTTTGGCAAAGGACGGAGGAAAAGCTCAGCAACATTTTAGGGGGCGGTTGTTTCTTTCTTTCTTATTTCTTTTTTTAAGGGGAAAAATTTTGAGTGCATCGCGATGGAGAAAATGTCCCGACCGCTCCCCCTGAATCCCACCTTTATCCCGCCTCCCTACGGCGTGCTCAGGTCCCTGCTGGAGAACCCGCTGAAGCTCCCCCTTCACCACGAAGACGGTGAGCGCTGCCGCGGCCCCGCTCCGGGAAGGGACGACGCTCCGGGGGTCCCCCTCCGCGGCCGGGCACGCCCGCTGGAGCATCCCCCCACCCCGCTCCCGCCCTGTCCCGCGGCGCCCCGGCCCCGCTCTGATGAAATTGAGGAGCTCACCCAGCACCCTTCCTCCCCTTCCTCCTCCTCCTCCTCCATGAAAGGGGAGGAACGCCTCCTGAGCTACATTTAAAGAGCTTCGGGCACCCGGCCTGCCTGGGTCCCGCTCCTGCGTTGCGGGTGGGAGGTGTAACTTGACAGGTCAGGATCGTTCCCTAGAACGAGGTACACCCGCACGCAGAGCGAGCCCGCCTGCGGAGGGCAGAGCCTCCCGGGCTGGAGAGAAGAAACCCTGGGGCCTGGTTCTGTGCGGGGCAGGGGGCGGGGGTCGGCTTGAGGGAGGGGGTCTCACTGCGTAGCCTGGGTTTTGGGGTTGTGTTACAGCTTCTGTTACTGGTTAGTATTTGTAACCCACGAGGTGTGAGAGAAGACGCCTTTTCTCCTGGTGAAGGGTAGCTGAGAAAGCGGGGTGGGGGTTGGGGCCGGTGGGGGGAGTGGTCTCTCGGCGGGAAGCGGTGCACGCCTCCAGCGCTGACACTTTCCCGGTGCACTTTTTCTGGTGGGAGGGGAGAGCGGAGCAGGCTCACGTGTAATCGCGCAGGAGCCTCCTCTGGCTTGAGCCCTTTCTTGGTAAGTCCCAAACCTTCCCAAGACAACCTTGGCCATAGCGGTAGAGGAGGGGTACGTGTGATGAGGCCCCAAACCCAGCTAGTGATACCACGGATTTGGGTTGATGCGGTTTCATGCCTTCGGTATCACAGTAGCAAATGCGAACCGTGCGACTCACAGTGTAAAGTCTTGAAAGGTTATTTGGCTACAGATAGCTTGGGAGTACTTGCACCTTCCTTCCTAGGAGAGGACAACCTGTTGCATTGCAAGAGTTTGCAATCTGCAGATGATAGCCACGGACCCCTCCTTAACTATGCTTTAAGGAAGAGCATTTGGGAGGAAGGGGCTGCCTGCTGCAGGCTTTTGCATATGTGGGTGTTTTAAGTCAGATTTTCAGATGAGACGGTAGAGGGTTAGAATGGATGGCAGTGGAGGCTGTGTTTCTCTGAAGATGAAACTCAGAAGCAAATTCCTTAATCCCAGATTCCACCCACGACTGAATACTAGAATTGGCAAGATCCAGAATGCTTGTTAAAGACCTAATGGGCGAGCAGTATTTCCAGGTAGAAAATAGCTGCATACTTCCAACATAAGTGTATAGAATAACTCACCTTTTCCAATATCTGTGCTTTTGAAAGGTTTTGTAAATGCATACTGTTTGTAAATTGGATCATACTCAAATGTTTGGGGAAGAGAAGGAAGAAAACACTTTGTATTTTTCTAAACTCCTTTCGTAAAAATCAGTGTGCCCCAGTGGCTTTAGAAGCTAACACATGTGAGCTCAGAAAGTTCTCATTTTTCTCCTCTGCCAACATGAGGCATTGGTCAAGTTCCTTCAAGTCTCAGAGCCTCCAAGTCTTTGTTGTAAATGGAGGTAATTGCTATTTTGCAAGTTTATTGTGAGATTTTTGAGATAATATATGGAAAGAACCAGATATCCAGTAGGTGCTTTAAACATGATATTAAAGAAGGGTGGAAGGTCCCTGCCTTACCAAAATTAAGACCACTAACTCACTGGCTTTGTAAGTCTAAATGACCTCAGTATTGTTGCTGTGTTGAATTTCTGGAAGATAATTCAAGCCTGGTTATTGGCTGTTGTTTTGTTAAAAATGACAGCAGTTGCATATAATCGCAGGTGTTATTTTACTATTTTAAATTTAAGTTATTACTCTTCTCAAATAATGTGCTGTGGCTGTTCACTGGTTTTTATCCTAGATCAGCCTGTAGCCCTGCCCCAAGGGCTAGTGCCTTCTTTCCAAAGTAAATAGGAAGATGTTGAAAAACAGGCAGAGATCCACGTCCTGCCTGAACTTTTAACTCTAGATCTACAAAAGACAGCAGCCAGAGAAGGATCCTGCCATTCGTGAGAAGTAGTTTTATAACAGGCCAGGAAGAGTGGTAAAAGAGCGGTATTGTTTTTCTTTTCTTTCTTTCTTTCTTTCTTTTTTTTTTTTTTTAAGTCCAACTTTCCCTTCTTCTGCAGCATTTAGTAAAGATAAAGACAAGGAAAAGAAGCTGGATGATGAGAGTAACAGCCCGACGGTCCCCCAGTCGGCATTCCTGGGGCCTACCTTATGGGACAAAACCCTTCCCTATGACGGAGATACTTTCCAGTTGGAATACATGGACCTGGAGGAGTTTTTGTCAGAAAATGGCATTCCCCCCAGCCCATCTCAGCATGACCACAGCCCTCACCCTCCCGGGCTGCAGCCAGCTTCCTCGGCTGCCCCCTCGGTCATGGACCTCAGCAGCCGGGCCTCTGCACCCCTTCACCCTGGCATCCCATCTCCGAACTGTATGCAGAGCCCCATCAGACCAGGTAAGTGCCCTGAAGATGCTCCCTTCAGAAAGGGAGGAGGAGGGTGAACGGGACAGGCGAGGTAGAGTTAGCGTAAACATCTTAACACTCAGGTTTTGGCAAATATCCTGAGAGGAACCTTCTTCTGCTCCACTCCTGGCAGAGGCTCTCCCACTTTAATGAGCGTCCATGTCACTCATCCGGAGGGTCTGGTAAATACAGACTCTTTGTGTCTACCCCTAGAAATTCTGATTTTGCAAGTCTAGAGTGAGGGCCCAGGCATATGCATTTTAACCAGCTCCCCCATGGGATTGTGATGCGGCCGATCCAAGGGTTACAGGTTTAAGAAGTAACAACTTACAGTTAATGATTTGGCTAATTTAAACCTCCATCATATCTCCTATCTCTTTTCGTCATTCCCTAAACACATAGATAATAGGTAGCCTCTCAATAGGGGTTGGTTTACCTACATTCACTCTTCTCTGTCCTGAAGGAAAAAAAAATATGAGTAGGGATGTGGGGCAGGTATATTTTTTCCATCCTTTTCATCTTGTTTTGTCATTAGCTGAGATATAGAATCTAAATCCAGGCTCTCATGTTGTGCTTCTGAGGCTTCTTCAGGACCAGACTCCATCTCTCTCGTTGCTATTCCCATAAACCCAACTGTTCTTACCTTTTTTTTTTTTTTCATTTTCATCTGTCCATCACACTCAATCTACCTGTATCAGAGCCCACAAGGCTGCAAGGTCAGCTGTAAATGATCTTGAAATAGTACACAAAAATATCACCTGAAATGACCAGTACTTCAAAACCCACTGCTAATGCTCAGATATAAACACAGATTGAAGCAGCTTTGAATTCATGCCTTTAGCACCCTGTAGTACAAAATGAACAGGAAGAAAGACAATTTCATGTGCACAGGTAACCAGGAACAAAGATTCATCCAGATAAATCGTCCGGAAGGTCACAGAGCTGAGGGCCTTAGCTGTGGGGGAAGACAGAAAGCAGGACAATGCGAAACTTGTGCTAGAGATTGTTACTGAACTCCGTGTCCTCGACCCTTGTAGAAGTTTCTGTGGCACACAGAGCAAGATTTAAATGGAAGGAAATGATGCAAAGGAGGAAGAGAATACCCCTGCCTTGATATATTCATATTAGAGTTAAAGTTCTTCCTTTCAAATCTCTGCGTGCTGGCCCCTTCTCCAAAATTCACTTTGAATTATAACTCAAGGCCACTGGCTGGAATGGAATTAATTCTTAGTCTCCAGCCACCCCTGGAGGCTGCGGGGGCTTGGGAAAACACTTCTTTATGGGATCCTGAGCCCCTGCTACTTAGAATGTGCGGTGCCACTATCTTCAGTTTATTTGTAGGAACAGCCAACAAAATGAATAACCCTTCAAAGTGGGAAAACAGCGAGGAGAGAAGGGAACAGAGCTCCAGTGAGAGACACAGTTGTGCCTCGGTCATTGTGCTCTGTAGACTGAGAATCACCACTTTGTAGCTGTGTGACCTTAGAAAGCCACATCATTTCTTGGAGCCTCAGTTTCCCTTTTCGTAGAAGGATACAATTTCTATTTTTATAGTTATTGTGAAAATTAGAGGTAATATGTATAAAGGGTCAAATGATTAGCAATGAGTGTTCTATTTGCGGAAGCAATTGTGATCATTGTTATATGTGTCAACTGTTGTTACTTTCTTCAATCCCTGTCTTCGGAAATATCTTCTTAAGGTAACTAGGTACT